TTAAATAATCTTTAAAAAATGTCTCCAGACATTGATAATTATTTCCTGGGAGAGGCGGGTGAACTCATCCCTGTTTGAGAACCAGTGTTCTAGAAAAACACAGGATTATTGAATTTTCCTTAAACAAACCATGAATTTACATATATTCAATTACTGCTTTCCAACCATGATGACAGTACAAATCCTTTACACCTGTAAAGGCCCATGTCCTCTGTGAGGGTGCCCAGGCATGGGGAATCCAGCAGGAAACCATGTATGTATATAACGGCTTTCCCGAGGCCTATGTGGCTGTGGGTAGGGAGGGATTACTACGTGTATAAGTACATGCTAAAACAAGTAGCCCGAAGGAAGACAGTAAAGAAATATGGTTCTATAAACACTTATGCAAAGGAAATCATCGTAGTTTGGGGGCATAAGGGAACAGAATGTGCGAGGAGAGGGTCAGGGCATGCTGCTCTGTGATGGTGACGGAGGGAGATCTGAGGGACCAGTCACCTTTAAAAGAAGTGAGGGGCTCACCCAGGCCCTAGTTAGTGGATCCCCAGACACTTTTTTTCTGCAGGAATTGATAATCTAAGCGAAAGAGGGTCATAACAAGAGTACTTTCCATGTGGCAAATGACAGCAAGACATTGCAAAACGGATGGAGAAGCACAGAGAGCCTTTAGCCAGGTCTGGGGGGTTCAGGAAGGACCTCTAGAGAACGTCGCTCTCACTTCCCAGGTGTAGAAACTGATCCTCATGCACATGCCCAAGATCACAGAGCTCATGGGAAACAGACCCAATTCAATCCCAAGCCTCCAACCCCAATGCCACGTTCTTTCCATCCTTCAGCTTCCTCCCTGCAGCCCTTTGCTCATTTCTCCTCTTTAGCACTGACTTCATCCTAACACATGTTGCATGGCAACACTTCCCATAACCTGGGACAGTACATGTAGTTTTGCTTAAATACTATTCCATTATGATTTCATGGGTCAAAGGTGATTTGGAAAATTATCAGTGTTTTTTTTAACTACATTATCTATCTGATTAGGAAGACTGTCAGCTCCTTGTCAAAGACTACTGAGCAATAAATACTTAAGATGTGGTTATCAGTTTTCTCATTTATAAACTGTTAGAGTAACTGTAAGGATTAATTAATATGCATAGGCCATCCAGAACAGTGCTGGTATAGGTCTGAGCTCAGCTATAATTACTGAATGAGAGGATGACTGATGGGTGGGTGGGTGAATGGATGGAGAATAGGGCATGTGCTTGTTCTCAATGAGCTTCCACAGCCCTCACCACCCACTACTTGATTCTAAGTCAATCCCAGTTATAAGTGTGGTCGACTCCCCTTTCAGGCCACATTAAATGTCATTTTCTATTTGCTAAGCAGACATTAGGACAACAATGTCCAGAATGTTCCCTGCCCCCACTAAGGCTGGGGTATAACCCTCATTCCTCATCAAACCTAAAAAAAAAAAAAAAAAAATCAAATAAGAAAACATAGTCCAAAGTAGAAAGAGAGAGAGAGAGACCAGGGCCCATTAGGAGGGCTACTGGAAAACACATGAATTTTAGAATGATTTTTAATATCAAAGGAAGATTTTTACAGTTGATTCTTAAAGTGAAGACAGCATTCATGTGTCAGTAGAAAAATATATTAAAGGTGAGACAGACTGCATTCCCATATTCCCTCTCCATTTATTCAACAATGTTTATTGACCATGGACTATGTGCCAGGCACCAGATTTCATGGTAAAAGAAAGAAAGAAAGAAAGAAAGTCTACAAGGTCTCTGCTGTCGTGGAGTAGAGGAGACAACGCTGAAACCGTCGCCACGTGAATAAAATAATTACATGTTGTGAAAAGCGGTAAAAAGGAAACAAAGAAGGGACTGTAGTGGAAAATAACAGGGAAGCTTCTCAGACAGACTCCTCTGAGAATACAGCAGCTGGAATGACACCTGAGGGAGGAGGTGGAGCCAGCCAGGCTTGAGTCCTGTCCTTCCCTCCTTACCAACTCCTGGGCCATTTATGATGTAAAACAAGTTAGGTGAGCAAAATATTCCTGCACTAATTGCTTCATTTCATGATAACCAAAATAAATTGCATTTTCCCCAATTTTCTTAATTTTTTAAAATATCTTTTTAATGGTTTCAGACAGGGAGAGGGAGAGAAAGATAGAAACATCAATGATGAGCTGCTTCCTCCACACCCGCCACTGGGAAGCGGGCCTGCAACCCAGGCATGTACTCTGACCAGGAATTGAACCAGTGACCTTTTGGTTCATGGGTTGTTGCTCACTGAGCCACACCACTGGGCTATAGTTCATTCCTCTTTACTGCTGAGCGGTTTTCTATTGTATGGGTATACCATCATCTGTTTATCCAATCACCTGTTGATGGACATTTGGGTTGTTCTCAGGTTTTGGTGATTACAAATAAAGCTGCTATGAACATTTGGTCCCAAGTCTTGTGGGCACGTAAGTCTTGTGGGCACGTGCTTTAATTTCTCTTAATCAATGCGTAGAAGTAGTAATATGGTAAATGTATGTTTAACCTCCTTAGAAATTGCTAAACTGTTTTCTTAAGATATTGTAGCATTTTAATTCTCACTAGCCATGTTATTTCCAACTGTTTGCCCAAAGTTGGTACTATCTTTTTTTTTTTATTATTGATTTTTTACAGAGAGGAAAGGAGAGAGATAGAGAGTTAGAAACATCGATGAGAGAGAAACATCGATCAGCTGCCTCCTGCACATCCCCCACTGGGGAAGTGCGCGCAACCCAGGTACATGCCCTTGACCGGAATCGAACCTGGGACCTTTCAGTCCGCAGGCCGACGCTCTATCCACTGAGCCAAACCGGTTTCGGTGGTACTATCTTTTTAATTTTAGCCTTTTTAGTGTGTGTGTAGTGATATCTCAGTGTGATTTTTATCACCTCAATTCATGAAGGATATTTTCGCTGGATAAAGAATTCTGGGTTGTTCAGGTGTTTTTTTCTTTCAGCACTTCAAGATGTTGTTCATCTATCTCTTTGCTTCCATCTTTCTGATGAGATGTCCACAGTCATTTCAATCGTTGCTTCTTTATATGTGCTCCCCTCTTTTCCTCTGAGCACTTTCCATTTTCTTCTCAACCTTTGTTTTTTGGCAGTGTGACTATGCTGTATCTAAGAAAGGTCTTATTATCTTTCTTGGGCTTCACTTAGTAAATTGTCTCTGTCCTTCACCAATTTGGGAAATGTTCGGCCACTATTTCTCCATAATATCTTAACCAATGTAGGAGAAAAAAAGGTTCTACCTACAGCTTTCACATACCTTTTGCAACAGAAACTAATCTGCTGATGTCTGACAGTGAGGGCCATCTTTCCACAAAAATACAGAAAAACTCTTTTTGAGTCGATTAGTCAAAGATAGCACAGAGACACACTAACTCATCCTTCATCCATTCACAGGTACTGTTTTAGGTGCTGAGGACAGAATAATGAACAAAACAATAATAGTTAATTCTTAGAGAATGTAAGGAACACTTAAAAATATATATATTATCTTATTTAATTCTCATTATAACTCCATAAATAAGTCATATCCCCATTTTACAGATGAGGAAGCTGAGACTTAAAGAGGTTAACTAATATGTTTAAGGTTACACAGCTAGTAAATACCAGAGATAGACTTTGAACTTAGCTAGTCGAGCTCTGGAATGTGCACTTTCAATCTGTACTACTTTACTTGCCAAAGGCAAGAAATGGAGGCCAGAGGATGGGCAGCCTTTATCTTTAGCCATGTGAGTACTAGGCAAATCACTCCTTCTGACACTTTTCCTTGTCTGTAAAATTAGTGGGATTCACTATCAGTGGTTCTCAACCTTCCTAATGCCGCGACCCTTTAATACAGTTCCTCATGTTGTGGTGACCCCCAACCATAAAATTATTTTCGTTGCTACTTCATAACTGTAATTTTGCTACTGTTATGAATCGTAATGTAAATATCTGATATGCTATATGTGTTTTCCGATGGTCATGACCCACAGGTTGAGAACCTCTGCACTAGATGAAAACTAAACTCTCTTCCAGCCTGGAGAGTTTATTATTGTAGACCTTGAGAGCAAAGGCAGGTACAGGTTAACTAAAATTAATGAAATCAAATATGGAAACAACATCTCTAATAATAAAAGCATAATATTATTCTGGATGACCTTCCGGACGAAGCCAGGGCTGTGAGGGAAGCCCAGGTCCCAGGTGCCAGAGGGAAGCCGGTGCCGGCAGCCGGGGGAAGGAAGGCCTACTCTTGCACGAATTTCGTGCATCGGGCCTCTGGTAGTATTATATAAAAAAGGACAGTAGTTGCTATCCAGAGTGGATCCACATATATATACAAATTCATGGAGAGATCATCAATAGTTTTTATGCATATGATGGCTTTCAGATTTTTTTTTTTTCATTTTGAATGAGTGTGTTAAAAAAAAAGAAAAAGAAAGTGACCAAATAGCTTCCCATAGTGCTTCCCTTCTTACTGAAACCTAGTTTTCCCTTTTCTTTGATGAGTATATGACATGCTGTTTCCATAACAATCATATAAAAGAGTTGTGTGTTTAAAAAAAAAAAAGTCTGCAAAGTTCTTTTTGTAGCAAAAGCAGCTTGCCAGTAGACATACCGGAAGCAGATGGTACTAGAAAAACAGAAGAGATGACATAGCAACAATTCAAAAGATACCAAACTAAAACATTTTTAAAGGATGGACATTCAATCTTAAAAAGTACAAGGATGTGACAGGACTTCAGAATTAGGAGGGACTGTTAATGCTGCCTTTGATTTTTAAAAATCCTAGTTTAAAAATAACTTTTTAAAACATATCTAACTTCAAAATATTTAAAACACAGTATCTTTAAGATTTAAAAATGGAGCTGATAAGGAAATTAATAAGTAAACCTAAAATGCAGGGATGTTAAACACAGAGATCAAAGCAAGGTCGTTGTGGGCCCGGCCGGGTAGACCAGTTGGTTGATAAACTAAGATTGCAGGTTGATCCCAGGCAGGGCACAAAGAAGAATCAATTGATGAATGCATAAATAAGTAGAACAACAAATCAATGTTTCTCTCTCTCCCTCCTCTCTGTCTCTAAAGTCAATAAATAAAAAATAAATAAAGCAAGGTCATTATGGTATTTTCTTAGTAAAGAAACTTCATTCTATGACAAGATTCTAGTTCATGAGGACTCTCAAATAACAAAAAACAAAATAGCAAACAATTAAGATTTATTGAAGGATATTCAGATGCTGGGCACTGTGTTAAGTACTTTACATTGATTGTCTTATCCTCACCACAACCCTAGGGAGTAGGTATTATTTATTATTATTGCACTTTATAGATATGAAAACCGAGGCTTAGAGAGGTTAAATCACTTGCCAAAAATCCCATCGCTAGCTGTGGTAGAGCCAACAGGGATTTGAGTGAAGGCTTTCTGACTGCCTCACTCTGAAAGCACTACTAGTATACTATATACATAACGGATAAAAACAAACAAAAAAGAAAAACTCCGTGCCAATTATTGCTCTAACTTGGTGCAAAAACACATGCTCAGCACTTTTCTTATCTAATTTTCATAGTAGTCTTATGGGATAGGAATTGTCATCTTCTTTTTATGGATGAGGAGGCTGAAGCTTAAAGGGGCCAAATAACTTGCCCAGAGCCATTCAGCCAGTAAGTGATGGATTCAAGATGTGGGTCCAGGTCTGCCTATCTCTGAAGCCCCAATGGTTTTCACAGGCCCCTGGGAGGGTGGAGGGGGTAGGAATCACAGTGAACACCCCAGACAGATATGTCTTTCTCTCTGTACCTGTCCAGGGAGGAGCAAGATCCCTCTCCCACCTTTTTTTCAAGGGCAATCACCCAAAACACTCATGCTCCAAGGTAGTTCTACTCCCAGTTTCCACCCAAACAAGGTGAAACCCTCTCTATTCCGAGCAGGTTTTTCTCCTAATGTCTTAGTGCCACCTCCCGCCCCAGCCTGGGTCCCTCCTGAGTGCTCAGAAGCACCCTGGGCTTACCTGGTTCCAGCACTCACACTCCCCTGGAATCATCTGTTTGCTGCTAGTGTTCCCCCTCCCACCTCTACAGGGCTCTGCCGCACACACCATCCAACAGTGATTGTTTTTTATCTCCTCGATGTCTAGCTAAGTACCTGGCACACAGTAGCTGCTCAGTGAATGTTGATGGATGAATAAAGACTGACTTCTGAAGTCCTGCACAATTACCAACTGAATACCATAATATGAAAGTCCCTGCCACTTACAGTACACACACACACACACACACACACACTGTCACATGTATTTGTGAATCTATAGATTTATACTTAAGTGAAATGGACAAAAGAGTACTCATGCCAAAACCGGTTTGGCTCAGTGGATGGAGCGTCGGCCTGCGGACTGAAGGGTCCCGGGTTCGATTCCAGTCAAGGTCATGTACCTGGGTTGCAGGCACATCCCCAGTGGGAGATGTGAAGGAGGCAGCTGATCGATGCATCTTTCTCATCGATGTTTCTAACTCTCTATCTCTCTCCCTTCCTCTCTGTAAAAAATCAATTAAATATATTTTTTAAAAAAGAGTACTCATTACTAGAATGAATAATGATAATTGATAGAGTAAATTTCTCTATAGTTTGAGCAGAGTTTTCTTTTTTCAGCTTTTTTAAAAAAAGCTAATGATTGTTTTCTAATTATAATAAGCACTAACATTTGTAAAACTGGCCTGCATGTTCAGGTACATTTTCTTATTTCATCCTAATGGTCAGTTCTGTGAAATAGGTACTATTAGTTGTTTTTTTTTTTTTTTACAGTAGAATACCAAGTTCAAGGATGATTTATTCCAGATCACATAGCTAATAAATAAGATTACTGGGAACAGACTCTAGCTCTGTAGTCCAGTGTTCTTTCAACTGTGTCACCTATGAAGACAGAAATACTGAACTGAATGCTGTCTATAAAATGTGTATTCATCAAAAATAGTGAGGGAAGCCGAAACCGGTTTGGCTCAGTGGATGGAGCGTCGGCCTGCGGACTGAAGGGTCCCGGGTTCGATTCCGGTCAAGGGCATGTGCCTGGGTTGCGGGCATATCCCCAGTGGGAGGTGTGCAGGAGGCAGCTGATCGATGTTTCTCTCTCATTGATGTTTCTAACTCTCTATCTCTCTCCCTTCTTCTCTGTAAAAAATCAATAAAATATATTTAAAAAAAAATAGTGAGGGAAGACTATCCTTTCTTCTCCTTTTTTTTTTTTTTAAATCCTTTCCTTCATACCAAATGAAAGGGCATCTATCCTGATAGGCACTGGCTTTGGAATCATGAGAAGAGTAATAGAAATAACTTTAGTTTCCTGGCATATTCTTTAGACTTCTCTAAACCCCTAAAAGGAAATTAACACTTCACTATATAACCCCCTCTACAATATTTTACTATGTACATACATAACCTATTTCAAAACTTTTAGAAATAGAAAGATACCAATGAGTTTATTTTCTCTACTCTCAATGTCACAAGGCAAACCAACTGAGAGCAGGTGTTGTCCAAAAAGCTTATAGAAACACAATTTTAACTAGATAACTGAGTGCCCCCATATGATTTCATGTCATGCATGACATTAGAATTGTGAGGTAGGTACTGAGGTTGAATCATGAGCAGCCCTGTTACAGATGCACTGAGAAACCAAGAACTACTGGCTATCACAGCTCTGTAAGCAGCAGAACCGAATGCCTGATTTCCTGACTTCAATGCTATTACTTAGACCTGCTAGAAAAAGTTAGGACTAGCTCTCTGGTCAGATTCCTGGGTTCCAAAGCTGCTATGCTGGGCCCTAATGTACTCACAATAAAGATCTCCAAGAAGTATTAAGTGAAAAAAGCAAGGTAATATATTGTATTTTACCATTTTGTGCAAAAAAATTGAAACTTTAAAAAATAATGTCTGCATTTGCTTATGATGCATAAGCTATCAGTTGCCTTACAGGTCCCTCCATCTGCAAAATGAGGGTAGTGAGGTTACATTAAATACTGCAAATGTTAGAATAGTGCCTGGCACACTGAATGAAGTACCATTTTACTTGAATTCTCAAGCCAAATATTCCTTGGCTTAATCATATTTTTAAATATCCTTTAAAAATCATTTAAAAATATATTTTTATTGATTTTAGAGAGGAAGGGAGAGGGAGAGATAGAAACATCAATTAAAGAGAATCATTGATCAGTTGTCTCCCACACGCCCCACACTAGGGGAAGGAGCCCGAAACCCAGGCATGTGCCCTGACCAGGAATCAAACCCTGACACCCTGGTTCATAGGTCGACCACTGAGTTATGCGGGCTGGGCTTAAAACATAATTTTTAATTGGCACAGGCAAGATGAAAACGTGGCAAACCACAGCAAAATGTAATTACTTAAAGCTGCTTTAAATTGGGTCCAATAGAGTAATTAGCCAATACTGAAACATGTTTGGTGAATCACAATTACAGATATCAAAGAACTAGTAGTGTTTACCCATTTACTAAGCAAATTAATAACTAAAATCCTTTTTAAAAAAAAAATAGGGTCTTGCATATGATCTCTACAGTGTATTTTAACAGTCTGCTACTCTAAATAGTATGAGCAGCTTTAAGAAAAATCTTCAGCAAAATTCGACCTTAGGTTTTTGACCCAAAAGCACATTGACAAGTCTCAACAATGTTACTGTTACCGTTTTAACATTTAAAAGGCATACTGTGCCCCAAACCTGTTTGGCTCAGTGGATAGAGCGACGGCCTGTGGACTGAAGGGTCCCAGGTTCCATTCCGGTGAAGGTCATGTACCTGGGTTGCGGGCACATCCCCAGTGGGGGATGTAGGGGATGTGCAGGAGGCGGCTGATCCATGTTTCTCTCTCATCGGTGTTCCTGACTCTCTATCTCTCTCCCTTCCTCTCTGTAAAAAATCAATAAAATATATTTTAAAAAAAATAAAAGGCATACTGTGTCTGCTCTAAAGTCGTGGGGGGGAATGTTTATGGATTAGGATTATGTTCAAAACATAGGCTCAAGGAGAAAGAGCTTTTTTATTTTTTTTTAAGTATATTTGCTTCAGTCTTTTAGAGGCTAAGCCACCCTGACGAAAACCGACCCCCACCCTGAGCCACGTGGGTTCTCCGCCTCCGCCCCGGCGCTTCCTTCCGCACTCGGAGCACCGAAGCAGTGACCTCAAGGGGGGGCGTGTCCGGGGGCGGATCCGGGTGACCCGG